TTTCCCCCCCCCCCCATGTTTTTCAATCACTTAAAGACATGGGATAATCAGTGAGTTTTGTTTTCTGGGCTAGGATTATTCCTTGTAAGATTTTTTTTTTTAAAGTTTAATGTACTTCTCTCCTATCATTAATGAGGCTTTAAAAAAATAATGAGTACCGGCTTTTATTAACTTTTTTCAAAGCAGTATGAGCTTGGTGGAAGTTCCTCTTATGCCATTAGGTGGCGCCAGAGGTTACAGAAAACCTATTTTTGATTCAGTAGTTACAAATGAGCATATTTGGTATGGAAATTTCTGGGAGGGAAAAAAAACGAGATAAAGGTAAAGGATACTCATTGAGCTGAAAGAAATGTGGAAAATATGTTTAACTTTCTGTTTTGCTTGATTAATGTTCAAATTCTAAACAAAATTAGAATAATGCCTCTTTAGGTAAGACCCAGCAGATTGGCAGTGCTCACAGTGACGTTGAACATACGCACCTGATGCTGCTGTAGCCTGGACACTGCGCTGGTAAAGCAGGGTGGCGGTGTCCGTGGTCTTCCTCAGCCAGTAGCATGCTGTGCTTTCTGCTTGGGGCTGGTCACTGCTTCCCTTCTATGTACTTACCAGCTCACCAGACGTTGCCCAGAACTGTAGCACCAAGTTCTCATCTTACTCTATGCTGCAAAGACCTGAATGATGTTTGGTAACTGTTGAAAAATGTACGTTATACTCAGGATCACTGTTATTGTTACTGCCACTGATGATTCTTATAAAAACATAATCCAAGTTTTCCATCAAAATGTACACTATGATATTAATACACAGTAGATGATAAGAACAATTGTTCCATGAATGATTCTATGAAGCTATGCATCTTAGACCTATTGAGCTGTGAATTAGCACTGTTTTCTACAGTTATTCTCTTGATCATTTTATAATTTCCATATTCATTTTAAATATGCTCAAGTGTTATTCTTTAGCGATATCCAGGATCGTAAATTTCATTCTTTGGTTTAAATATTGAAGCATATAATTAAAATAATTGCTAAGTAGCAGCTTTAAAATCTAATTATCTGATTGTATTTAACATCTTTAAGAGCATGATCACAAAGATCTATTTTTGACACCCCCCCTTTTTTAATATTTAGAGTTAATAAGGATTTTTTAAAATCTCACTTGTCTATATTGTTTTCAAGGAAATGAGTTTTTTTTTTGGTTAGAGGAAGTTAGATTGGAACGTAGACATGGTGGTTGTTATTCAAGTTGAGAATTATTTGGAGAATGTCTGTGAATCCAGGTGTGTGTCTTACTCAGTGCCATGGATAGACCGAGTCCTCTCTGTGTAGGTCATCATTACATAGTCATTTTGATTTTGACATTAAATTATTTGACTGTATACAGACCTAAATTTTAAAACCTGTACATATATTATTTTGATGTATTAAGATTAATAAATATTGCTGATTTAAATTTTATTTATGCACATACTGAAAGGACAGAAATGTCCGGGAAAGTAATTGTTAAATAATGATATGTAACTTTTTAACTTTTTAAATAAATAACAAGATTTTTAATGTGTGTCTCCCTCAGGGTTGTTTAAAGTTGAGTTTTTTTCTCCCTGAAATATAAATAGTGGTAACTCTATGTTTGTATCTTCTCACACCAACTGCTGTACAGCAATGCTGCAAATAACGCTTGAGTAACTATGGCTAAGCCAACACAGAAGTCCTTTTTATAGTAGTTTTGTAATCTCTACTCAAAAGCTTTCCAAATTGCACTTGCATTTAAACAAAAACTGTTGCAGTTTTTATTCTATTTATTTTTTGTTTCCCATGTTTATGAAAGTACTGCACAGTTTCAAAGGCATGGTAAATAATATATCATTGTCCATGTAGTCTCTTCCCAAAACAGGTATAGCTAACAATATCCAGTGAAGAGCGAAATTCAGGCTCTAGAAAACATTGATACTTCATGCATGCATTTTTGACATATCTGAAAATGAGTTTTTGTATATTTATGGTGGGAGGTGGTTGGGAACTTTTAACAGAATGAGGTGTTAATTTTTGTACAGTGGGCATTTACACATATTTTTAATGTATTAAAATTTGGTAATTATGTGCACATTAAATTAATAAAATAGTTACTTCCCGTTATGATTTGTGAATTCCTTAAGACCTTGGATTTTTTTTAAGTAACTTTATATCAGAAATGATACTGCATCTTTATATTTTTAAAATTATATTGCTGCTCAAGGATGGTACCCTATTGTCAAAAAGGCATACATTCATAATTGTACATTCAGCATTGTAAATAACCTTATGAAGTCTTTTTTGATTGAAGCTATTCAAAATAAAAGTTAAAAAAAAATGAAGTAACCTTTGCTTGCCTTTATACAGTTGTATTTTGGTTACACAAATAGTGCCCTCTTTTTGGTTCTACTTTCCTGCTTAATACTTTCCTGTTTCTCTTTTTTCTTTTTTAACTTTTTTGAAGGAGGTACGTGCAGCATTTCATGTACCACATTCTGTCTGTCCGAGAAACTCATCTTTCAGATACAGCGTAGAGACACATGTCAGGTGTCAGCAGCTCTGAGTGAAATGGTTGAGTAGGCCCTTACGATCTATTGGTAGTTGAGAAGATCAGACCAAAAGCTAATGCCATGTAAGATATGGTACGTTTAAATACAGTGTCATTCCTGGGTGTAAAACAACACTGCAAGAGAGAAACTGGAGCTCACTCATGTCAGTGAGGTCACAGGAAAGACAGGGTTTGGTCTCTAGGAGACACGCAGCCTCTGCCCTGGCATATGTGACTGGCTCTGCTGGGCAGTGGATTGGGTGAGTGAGACCTCTGTTGAGCCAAGTTCTTCCCAGTCACTGTGGTTTGTCAGTTTGTACCACATCCCACCATGTGATGGTGCGAACATAGATCTTCATGTCTCCTACACGCTGTCAGGTGCTTCATCTGAGCATTGCAGGGACGGCCAGAGGGAGTCCTAGGAGCTGAGAGTCCTTACTCAGAGTTTGGGGGGTGGGTGACTTGGTAAGTGCAGAGGTGTCTGCTTTTCCTTGACCTGAGTCTTCCCTCCCAACGAGGAAAAAATTCGTTCAGGCAGACACCTGCTATTGAGTGGACAAACCCCTTAGTCCAGGGCCTGTGACTTACATGACAGCTGCCGCACAGGACAGGAGGTTTCTGACTTTTTTGGAGAGGTTTTTTTTTTTTTTTTGCTATAGGGCGCGTGCGCTCGCCAGACAGAGACAGAGACAGAAAGTGGGAAATCACCCCCCAGGGGGGATGGCCACGCCACAATTGGATCTTGGGCACGCACTCACACGTGCCCAGCATGAGTTTTAAGCCACCGAGTCCAGGACGCGAACTGCAGTCGACTACATGGGAGTCCAGCGACATAGCCATTACGCTAACTGCTGGTCCCGGGTTTCTGAATTTTTTGTGGATCCCAAATCCAAGACTTGGAATACTGGAGTTGTGAGCTTCATTGTTCAGAATACTTCCCATTACCTCATCAACTTGCTCTGGATGAGCTGAGCACTTCCTGGATACCGTTAGGAGTGTCTTCCCAGGGAAATAGGCTAAAAGGCTCTGCTAGAATTAGGCCAGCCATGGTGGTGTAGCTGTAAGGCAGCTTCCCATGATGCTGAGGCCATGTGGGAGTGCCAGGTTCCCATCCCAGCATCCTGTACCCGCCAGTCACACATGCTTGTGGTCACCTGGCAGCTGAAGCCAGGGATGGATCGCAGTGTGGGGTTTCTCTCTTTGTGGCTTCTCTTTCTCTCCAAAGAAAGAAATGAAAAAAACCTCACTGGAATTTGACTCAGTCTTGCTGTTTCACTACCCAGCTTCCACTCTATCATGCTGGCTTCCTGCCATTTTCATGGGCAAGGGGCACTTTCCTGGATGTGCCTGTGCGTGGCTGACTCACTGGTCACCAGAGGAACTACTCTGGGTTCAGAGTTGCCTCCTACGATCAGAACTTGAAGACCCCCGTAATACCTGAACAGAGGCAGTGGCCCTTCCCCCAGCGTGGTAAGATGTGACTTAGAACAGCAGTTCAGCATTTCCTGGGCTCTGGCTGCATTTGGCTACATCAAAGGCTGATAGGATGCCAGTGCTTTTTCTTTTTTTTTTTTTTTTTTTTGAATAGATTTTTGCTATAGGGTGCATGCAGTCTCCAGACAGAGCGAGACAAACAGAAAGTGAGAAATCACCCCCCAGGGGGGATGGCCATGCCGTAATCCCTCCTCCATTCTCCTCTCAGGATCTTGGGGATGCATGCACACGCACCAGCGTGAGTTTGAGCCACCGGGTCCAGGACCGGTGCATGGAAGTCCAGCGACATGGTCATTATGTCAGCTACTCGTCCCGGGATTCCAGTGCTTTTTCTAGACCTGCAAATGCCATGGATTGGAGGTTGCTTTTTCCAATCTGAGTAAAATAATTCAGGAACATCTGTACCACTCCACTCTATAATTACAGGTGAGTGCTTACCTTTTGCAATTCAAGCATTAACCTTTATTTTATTTATTTATTTGGAGAGGTTTTTGCTCTAGGGTGCATGCACTCACCAGATAGACAAAAATAGAGTCAGAATGCGAGAAATCACCCCCCAGGGGGGATGGCCACGCCGCAATCCCCACTCCTCTATTTTTCTCTAGGGATCTTGGGCACATATGCACATGTGCCCGGCGTGAGTTTAAGTCACTTGGTCCAGGACTCGAACTGCGGTCAACTACATGGGAGTCCAGTGACAAAGCCATTATGCCAACTGCTGGTCCCAACCTTCACTTTATTGCTGTGCTAAAATTAAATTTTATTTTTAGAACATTTAACCTATCAGGAAAGTATATGAGGAAGTCTACCTGCTCCCTGGTTTCCCGTCCAGAAGGTGAATACTAAGGTGTCTTGGTTGTATCACTTTAGAAACAATGTGTAGGTAGCCTCATACAGGTTTATTTAAGTTCTACACAAGGAGGCTCCCCCTGGACATGCTACACTGCCCTTGTTTGTACTGAGTGTATATTAGATAGTAGGTCAACACTTGCACCTCAGATTCATTCTTTTTAAAGTCTTGAAAACACCCCACTTCGTGCATACTAGTTTCTTGGCTATGGCCATTTAGAATTTTTCTTCTATTACTAACAACCCTACAATAAATGTTTTGTGTGCATATCTTAAGTATTTTATAGCAATGGGACTGCTGGACAAAGTTCAGTGTACATTTGTGGGGTTTTGTTTGTTTTTGTTTTTTTTTGCTATGGGGCATGTGTACTGGTCAGAGAGAGAGACAAAGATACAGAAAGTGAGAAATCACCTTCCAGGGGGAATGGTCATGCTGCAATCCCTTCTCCATTCTCCTGTTAGGGTTTTGTGCATGCATGCACACGTGCCTGGCATGAGTTTTAAGTTAGGTCCGAACTCAAATCACGGTCTGCTATATGGCAGTACAGCGACATGACCATTACGCCATCTGCTGGTCCCCGTGTATCTTTTTTTAATACGAGAGGGTTTGCACATGCCAGAGAGAGAGCCCCTCTGATAGAGCTGGTAACGTGGCAATCCCCTTTCTGCCATTCCTCCTTCCCGTTAGGATTTTGGGCACATGCACACATGCCTATCATCTTTTTCGAGCTGCCGGGCCACGACTGAGACCATGGTAGGCCATGTGGGATCTGGTTCCCTCCACACAACCAGCCCTATGTGGGTATGAGGCCAGGCCTATCTGTGTGTTAAATTTGGCAGGCACTATGGAATTTTTCCCTAAAAAATTGCACTAATTTATATTCCTACCAATGGTAGTATGAGAATATCTGTTTCTTTCTTTAAAAAAGGAATCGTTCAGGGACCAGCAGATGGCATAATGGTTACGTCACTGGACTCCCACATAGTCGACAGTGGTTTGAGGCTCGGACTCAGCAGCTTAAAACAAGCCAGGCACAGGTGTGTGCGTGCCCGAAGTCCTGAGAGGAGAACGGAGAAGAAGGGGTTATGGCAGAGCCATCCGCCCGGGGGGAGGTGATTTCTTGCTTTCTGTCTGCCTCTATCTCCCCAGTGAGCATGTGTACCCTATACAAAAAAAAGTTTTTTTAATTAAAAAAACAATAAAAATCCTCTAAAACATTAATTTTATTTGTTATTTATGTTTTTATTTTGAACAGAGAGAGAGGGAAAGTGAGAAAGCCACCAGGTCTAGGACTTGAACTGCAGTCAGCCACGTGTAAGTCTAGTGCTAACCTGCCGGCCCCAGAGAACGTCTGTTTAACACTTCAGGAAGCACCAGACGTTTTTAGGCTTTAAACATTCAAGGTTATCTCAGGAAGCTGATGATGTAGGAATTAGCAGACCCACACATTCATACTGGCTTATGACAGTGTTACTGTTGTAGCACTGGGAGAAGGGATTTAGATAGGACAGCTGGCTATCCTAATTAATAAAAAAAATAAAAAATAAAAAAACCTAACATCATACATGGGAATCAATTCTAGGTGGACTAGAGACTTAAGTACTAAGGACATAACTATAAGTACAGGTAGTATTTTTCTGACTTGGGAGAAGAAAGTGTATTTTTTAAATTATTATTTTATCTTGACCAGAGACAGGGAAAGTGAGAAAGCAGGCCACCAGGTCTGCGACTTAAGCCATGGTCAGCCATGGTGGAGTCCAATTCCTTAACCACCATGCCACCTGCCAGCACCAAGGGAAATGTGTAATTTTTAAAAAAAGAATTATTCAACTTTTATTAATTATTGCAATTGTTAAAATTTGACCAGAGAAAGAGAGGGGGAAAGTGAGAAAGCAAGCCACAGGTCCAGGACTCGAACTGTGATTCGCCATATGGGACTCCAGCACCTTTAACCCCCACACCACTTGCCAGCCCCTAATTTATTTTTTTAGAGAGATTGTTCTGCTATAAGACATGTGTACTTCCAGAGAGACAGAGACAGAAAGACAAAAAGTGAGAAAATTGCCTCCTGGGGGATGGCCACGCTGCAATCCCTTCTCCATTCTCCTCTCAGGATCTTGGGCACGCATGTTCACACACCCAGCCCAGCGTGAGTTTAAAGCGGCTGTGGCCAGGACGTCAACCATGGTCAACTACATAGGAGTCCAGCAATGGAACCATTATGCCAGCTGCTGGTCCCAGAAAATGTATTCTAATAGACAAAAAAGCAGAAATCATGAATAGATCGAAAACGTTGCCTACATTAAAACTATCCATCCAAAGCTACCGTGAAAAAGATGAAAAGACCACAAACTAGTAGAATTTGTTGGGCTGCCCTATAGTTTAGTGGTTTAGGGAAACCAATCCCACATAGCTGCCCATGGTTTGAAATCCAGCCCCAGCACCTGGAAAACAGGCCGTGTGTATGTGTGTACACGCATGCCCCAAATCCCACCAGGTTGGAGAAATGAAGAGAAAGAGGGGGCCAGCCATGACTCCCACATGGCTAACCACAGTCTGAGTCCCAGACCTAGCAGCTTTCTCTTGCCCTCTCCAGTCAAGTTTAAATAAATAAATAAATAAAATATTTTTTAAAAAAAGAAGAAAGAAGGGATTACAGTATGATTGCACCCCATTGGAGGGTACTCTCTTCCTCCATCTCTGGCAAGTGCTTGCACCCTCTGTCAATTAAAAACCTGTATTTGTAATACCTACAACTGAGGATCCAGAATATATACAGGTGGCCTCCTAGTACAGCTTAGATAAAGATGTTTTGCATATAGAAAAACAGACGAAAGGAAACCCACATTTCTCAGGAAATGAAACACGTAGTCCTTAATTACATAAAAAGGTGCTCATTCCTCACTGAATAGAGAAATCAAAAAATCTGAGTACTGTTTATAAGAACGGCAAAAAGTAAATTAGTCTTGTTCCTAAAAGGAGAAAGAAAACAAAAAAAGAACTGGAGGGGAAAATGGGGGGTCTTGGGACGTGAAAAGGAAGACGCACAGGAAGTGTGGCCCAGGCAGGGGTGTGGCCACTGCAAGGATCCAGCTGTCACTAAACATTTGTGCCATTTATGGAGAACCTTCTCTCCCGCTGGCTCCTACAGTCAACCTCAACTAGGGCTCAGGTTATATATGGTCTTGCTTTGAGTTTGAAGATAGGTCATTAAACACAGGGTATGCCCTCTGAGATACGGTCCTTTCCTAGCTCCTATCCTGGGAAAGGCTTTATCCTCAGGATGCAAGGGCACCTCCTCCTTCCTCTGGAAAGTGCGTAACCATATCCAAAGCTCGAAGCCTTTCAGTTGCTCTGGGGTGCAGAACTATCAGGTAAGACCAAATATTTTTAAATATAGGAAATTAGCATTCTGTGTGTTCGTAAGAAATTTAATTTGGTACAAGAAGCAACTTGTGTAAAATTTCACTTTGGAAACATTGTTTTGGCAGATAATGAGTATTTCATAGTCACTTCAATACCATGAGTAGTTATTATTAAACATCTTCAACTGGGTAAGTCAGAAATACCCTCAAATTCTGATTTTTCTTAAGGCTAAGTACCTTAATTCGCGGATAATGGTAATAGTACCTACCTGTAACGTGTTGTCAAGGGTTAAATGAATGTTAGTGAAGTGCCGAGAGCGCAGTGCTTGAAATAAGATGAGAGCATTAGTGTCAGCTTTTCTCAGCTCTGCTGCTACCTGAGAGGTTCGCTGTCCAGAGTGTTCACTACTGTAGTTCAGTTCATTGGTGTGAAATGAGTATGACCGGGAGAGAACCAGGCTGTGACGCTGCAGACTTCGCTGTCCCCCACAGCCAGCTGGTTAAGTCACAATGTCAAGAGCAGAGCTGTTTTCCCCACGGACACTGCCATGCATGCGTGAAAATGTGAATGCTAGAACGATTATTTTCATTCTGTTTACATAAAGATTTTTAAGTACTTGCTGTTCCTTAGCTTGAAAACACTAATAATCGCTTTTAAAAAAAAGAAAACCCTTTAATTGCAACAATTTTTTTTTGAGAGGTTTTTTGCTATAGGGCGCATGCGCTCGCCAGACAGACAGAGAGAGACAGAGAGATAGAAAGCAGGAAATCACCCCCCAGGGGGGATGGCCACGCCGCAATCCCTTCTCCTCCATTCTCCTCTCAGGATCTTGGGCACGCACGCACACGCGCCCGGTGTGAGTTTAAGCCACCGGGTCCGGGATTCGAACCGCGGTTGACTACGTGGGAGTCCAGCAACATAGCCATTACGCTAACTGCTGGTCCCAACAATTTGAGCCTAAAATAGAAAAGGGGACCAGCAAATGGCACAATGGTTATGTTGCTAAAGGGACTGCAGCATGGCCATCTCCCCCAACTCCCGTGATTTCTCACTTCCTGTATCTGTCTCTCTGTCTCTGGCAAGCGCATGTGCCCTATAGCAAAAATCTCCCCCTTAAAAAACAAGCAATAAGGGACCAGCAGTTAGCGTAATGGCTATGTCGCTGGACTCCCATGTAGTCGACCGCGGCTCGAGTTGGGACCCGGTGGCTTAAACTCACACTGGGGGCGCATGTGTGTGCGTGCCCAAGGTCCCGAGGAGAGAAGAAGGGAGAGGAAGGGGTTGCGGTTTGGCCCTCCCCTGGGGGGGTGGTGATTTCTCACTTTCTGTCTCTTGTCTCTCTGTCTTTCCTGTGGGTGCATGCACCCTATAGCAAAAACCTCTCAAAAAACAACAACAACAACAACAACAAAAAACCAGGCCTGTAGTGTAGAATGAATGCCTTTTTACCAGTGAGAAACTATATCTAAAAAGGGAGGGGGGACTTAGTTGTAGCTGGACAACGTTCAAAATCAGAATTCTGGCGAGAGGGTGTGCCCTTGCCAAAGTGTAGGTTACCAGACCCAACATGAGCGTAAAGCACTTGGGCACTGACCACAGACGGTTGCCTTTCAGACATGCTGAAGAGGACCCTGCTGTGCGCGCTGTTGGGGCTGCTGCGGGCCCAGTCCCTCCCCTGCCCACGAGCCTGCAAGTGCGTCTACCGCGACTCCGTGCAGTGCTCAGGGGTTAGCGTGGCAGGCATCGCTGAGCTGGGCCTGCCCACCAACCTCACGCACATCCTGCTCTCCCGAATGGGCCGCGGAGCCTTGCAGAGTCACAGCTTCCGCGGCATGACCGTCCTGCAGCGCCTGATGATCACAGACAGCCACATCTCTGCCATTGCCCCCGGCGCTTTCAATGACCTGATCAAACTAAAAACCCTCAGGCTGTCGCACAACAAAATCACTCACCTCCCTGGGGCCCTCCTGGATAAGATGCTGCTTCTGGAACAGCTGTTTCTGGACCGCAACGCACTAGGGAGCCTCGACCAAAGCATGTTCCAGAAGCTGGTTAACCTGCAGGAGCTCTTTCTGAACCAGAATCAACTCACTTTCCTTCCTGCTCGTCTCTTCACAAACCTGGGGAACCTGAAATTGCTGGATGTATCGGGGAACAACTTGACCCACCTCCCCAAGGGACTGCTTGGAGCTCAGGCTAAGCTCAAGAAACTTCTGCTCCAGTCGAACCAGCTGGTCTCCCTGGACGCAGAGCTGTTGAGCAGCCTGGGCGCCCTGAGCGAGCTGCGGCTCGACGGAAACCGCCTCCGTTCCATCGCCCCCGGCGCCTTCGACCGCCTTCAAAACCTGGGCTCGTTGACTCTTTCCAGAAACCAGCTGGAGTTCCTGCCCGCTGGCCTCTTCCTTCACTCGCGCAATCTGACCCTCTTGACCCTGTTCGAGAACCCGCTGGCAGAGCTCCCGGAGGTGCTTTTCGGGGAGCTGGCGGGCCTGCAGGAGCTGTGGCTCAACTGCACGCAGCTGCGCGCCCTGCCGGCCGCCGTCTTCCGCAACCTGAGTCGCCTCCGGGCCTTGGGGGTGACTCAGAGCCCGCGGCTGAGCGCGCTCCCGCAGGGGGCCTTCCGGGGCCTGGGCGAGCTCCAGCAGCTGGCCCTGCACGCCAACGGCCTGGACGCCCTCCCCGACGGCCTGCTCCGCGGCCTCGCCAGGCTGCGCCACGTGTCGCTGCGCCACAACAGGCTGCGGACCCTGCCCCGCGCGCTCTTTCACAACCTCAGCAGCCTGGAGACGGTCCAGCTCGACCACAACCAGCTGGAGACCCTGCCTGGAGACCTGTTTGGGGCTCTGCCCCGGCTTACGGAGGTCCTGCTGGGGCACAATCCCTGGCTCTGTGACTGTGACCTGCGGCCCTTCGTGGGCTGGCTGCAGCAGCACCCAGATCTCCAGAGCCAAGCTGAGCCCCCGCGGTGCCGCGTCCCCGGACCTCACGCTGGCGGGGCGGCTCGGGGATCTGGGGGAGCGTGACCTGGAGTGTCTGGCCCCCCAGCGCCCGCCTCCCCACACTCCCGCCAGCAGCTCCTCGAAAGCTGGGGTCCACTCGGGGGAACTGCCCACCAGCTCAGAGCCCTGGGAGTGGGCCCAGCAGGTGGCGGCGGGCGAGCGTCAGGGCCACCGCCGGTTCTTGGGTCTGTATTTTCTGCTCTTAGGCATTCAGGCGCTAGTAACCGGGATCATCGTGTATGCTATGATTAAAATCGGCAGGCTCTTTCGAAAATTAATCAGAGAGAAAGCTCTTCCTTGAGTGGCTGGAAAAACCTTGTAATTCATGAAAACGTGACCAGCGTCTTGTGAGATGTGCTCTGGGGGACTAGGACAACTGCTGCCTTCCTCCCTTCTTGTGAGTTGGTCTGTGGGGGCCTGGGACAACTGCTGCCTTCCTCCCTTCCTCTTCCTTTTGTCTTCTCTTCCAACGGCCACATTTCCGGCCTTGGGGGGGGAGCGGGGGGAGGGTCTCCTCTCTCTCCCCTTCTCCCTCCTTCATTTCCCACCACTCCCCCTCAATTCCTCCTCCCTGCCTCCCTTCTCCCTCTCCGTCCTCAGAACTAACTTGTATTCATCAATTGCTATTGCCAGGTACCCCTGCCTCCTCCTCCACTGTACACTCCAGCGACCCAGGCACCTCCTCCTCCTCTGTACACTCCCGCGGCCCAGGCACCTCCTCCTCCTCCACTGTACACTCCCGCGGCCCAGGCACCTCCTCCTCCTCCACTGTACACCACCGCCGCCCCGGCCCC